GCTTCGCGACTCGCGAGAATCGGCGTTTGATATGCAAAAAGGAATGTCGTTTGATCAGCGCCGGTCGCTAGCGCACTGGGACTGTTGGGTATACAACAGAACCGTAATTAGGGGAAGGCGGTCGTTTGGCGCGATTTCATTGCCATTTACGTGTTCTGACAGGTACATGCCTACCGGATAACTTGTTCGAATCACTGAACTATAAGGTTTTCGTAATTTGTAGCCTATCAAAACCCTCCTGTTTTTGGTTATAGTGCTCATTATTCAAACAGTAAGTTTTCTTCTAATGATCACTCGGGGATATACTTTAGTTTGGATTGGCGCTTCAGGAGAGTGCGAGCTCAAGGATAGATGGTTATCGACACCAGTTACTGACCGGGGCTGGGGGTATGTGGCAAGAGAATCGTAATTCGCCGCGCCAGTGGGCGTCGCGTGCGACGTCGCGCCCGCTAATGACGACGATTTTAGGTGGTACTGGTCGAGAATAGACAATGTATGACCAAAAATAGACATAAGTGTCTACCATGTCCTTGTCTACATGAAATCCGATGCTTCATCGAAAGGGTAGTGCAAATTAAGGAAACGTCGCGTCCATTGCCGCGCGCGGCGAGGCGGCAAACTACGATTCTCTTGCCCGTCTCTCTGGATTGGGAATGTAGGAGAATAGTACAGTGCGCTCTATGATAACATCGATTTGGCGTTTTCGGAAAATAGGAGAGTCGCGGACTTGACGTTCTGAGAAAATGCGCACCAAATCATGAAACTGCTTTGGAGCCCCTATTCTCCAAAAACTCCAGATAGATGCTCCTTTTGCGTGCTTTCTCCCATTTTTCTGTTCTTCCAGAAACGCTAACAGCCGGCGTCGATCGATCCACTATTTAATGACAGGGTTTGCACTGCAGTAGCCAAGTATCAACGTTGCTACTTTAAGACGTCGAATCACACCGTGTAGGACCCTCGTAAACTCCTGCTCTCTTTCAAAAGGCCGGAGAGTGGCCCTAATCGATATAAATCTACCCTTTGACTCGCATTCTCCTGGAACATCCATTTTCTCGAAATGCTGGCAATCGACCGGCCGATCGACCGGCCGACCTGTACTGTCCCTTTCGCGCTTCTCAAAACGCTAGTTCCGCCCATCCCAAAACCAAAACGCCGGTTCTTCCGAATCGCCAAGTATGAACACAACTTTCTTAAATGCAAGTGGTTCTTCAAACGGGTTCTTTCGCACTTAACCGATTCATTTCCTAAGAAATGTTTGTTTAGTGAAACCCCCTCCGGCAGACGACGTGTGTGATAAAGAAAGCGTCCCGAAGATGCCGAAAGTTGAAACAGTCGAACTGCCGACCGAAGTTTCTGAAATGAAGGAGCATATTGTTCCACTCTTCTAAGTTGCTAGTTAATATCAGAGTTGTACATTATATGAAGCGACTTTGCCCCATTCGTGGAATGATCGTTAATAGGCTATGGTCAAGCCTTCACTAGAATTTTATAAACGGGCCTATGGTCCACTTCGCCCAATCTCTCACTAGAATCAAGCAGTAAGGCTACGTTCATACTTCGCGACAAGAGCCATCCAAGAAGCGTGCAACAGCAATCGAAAAGGTTCTCCGCAGTGCTACTGCCAGCTCTTCACGATGGAACACCTTTCGACTGTAGCAGTGGTTCAGTGGTTAGTGGTAGAGCGCCGTCGGTCGCACTGAGTTACGGCCGTTATCGTTAAAGTCAGTCGGGGTGGGTTCTGGCGCGAAGTCAGCCCGTTTTCTATCAATCGTTGCGACTTCGGGTGTTCATCGAGTGGTGGGACACGCCCCGTTGCTTCGGTGTTAACGGCTTTATGAAGTTTGGAATTAGCCTAGAAAAGTAACTGTTGTTATGTACATAAGGTTGTGCAGGAATCATGTAATAGTAACCAATTAAAAAAGTAATACAAGAGTCTCAAAGATTTCTGTATTGTTATCTCCACTTTTGCTGGAGGCTCCACGAGAGCCGTTTTTTTTCATTTTGACTTTGTTTTTTTTCTGAGTTGACGTATGTTTATAGTGCTCATATATTGCATTCTTGGTGATGATATGTCGTATGCTCGACAAAGATATTCCAGTCAAACTGTTTCTTTTATAAAATGCACGAATAATCGTAGACTAATTACTGTTCGTTTTGTGATTTATTTTTGGCAGCTAATGGGGAGAGTGGACAGGACAACCGTAGTTTGGCGCGTCACTGCGTGCTGCGTATGTGTTGTCATGCGCAACAGAGTCCATGACGGGCGATATCAAATTTCCCCATCCTTTTGATACCGTTCCGCGGCCATGCAGTGCAAACCTTCCCTGCCCACCACCGTAGCATGTTACGCCTGTGGTCACATACGCAGCTTGGGCACCAAGACGGTTGCGCTAGGGCGGTCGCTGCACGATACTATCCCTATTCTGTTATGATAGACTGTAATGATGGGGACGTTGGAAAGGGGTCTCTGTCTCGGTGGGAGGGCGCAGGCGAGTAGACCTGGTCCCGGATATGTAACAGATAATTGTAATTGATCGTACTGCCAGGCATGGTGAGCGATGAGACGAGTTCTCTTACCTGTCCATTCGAATTTGAAAACCGTCCGGATCTCCAATACGCTGAACTTTTGCTGCTGATGCTTACCGAAGGCAGTTATGCACGCTACAGTGCTCCTTTCTCTCAACCAAAGCTCTCCTAATGATTGGTCAAAGAAACGCAATAGTTTGGTGAGTTGGACGAGTTGTTCTACCTGTATGACACGTAGCTCCCTTAGGCATGTTCACCGAAAACGGCGCCGGTTCCAGAGAAAACGCAAGAACCGCAAAACCCTGTGAACAATGCCTTAAACACGTTGACGGTTGGTAACATACGCCCAATTCGACAATACACCCAACGTGCGCCAAGCTGTTCTGTTAAGCTGTTCTGAAGCGCTCTGCGAGGGACGAAATGTCTTGCATATATGTGCGAAAACAAGGAAAAAATATGCGACGACTCCCAAGAGTTCCCTTGTTCCATTGCGAAGCTGACGTACAGTTTTAATTTCCCGCTCCCGTCGCCGCGTGACGAGCTCATTGAGAATTTCACACGGTCATCGCCGTTTGGACTCCAGAAATTTCGTCTTCGAGCTATTTTTAAAGTGGCAAGATCACCAAATCCGCTAAAAACTTGTATATGAAGGTAATTCAACATCCTGATCACGAATATGACATTGATTTTCTGGGCGCTGGCGCTAATGGATGACACTACGATTACCTGCGCTCTGCTAAGGCTGAGCCCAGGAGGTAATAGTAGTGTCCTCTCTTGGCGTCAGCGCCAAGAATGAGTGTCATACTCGTAATCAGGATGTCGAATTACCCCTACATACAAGTCTTTAGTGGATTTGGTGACTTGGGCAATTTGAAAATGAGCTCGAAGACGAAATTTCTGGAGTCCAAACGGCGATGATGGCGACGTGTGAAATTCTCAATGAGCTCGTTACGCGGCGACGGGAGCGGGAAATTAAAACCGTACGTCAGCTTCGCAATGGAACAAGGGAACTCTTGGGAGTCGTCGCATATTTTTTCCT